ATGCGTATACTATGTTTGTCTACAGTATGCTCTAAAATCTAACCCAAACTTTACTCCCGTGCTTTCCCACAAGATACAAGATAATGCTCTGCTGTTGGCACCCCAGACCAGATGACCGTCCCCGCTTCCACCAGCTTGTCAAAAAGGTAGAGAAACTTCTTGAAGCAACGCAATCCTACATTGACATCTCCATGGAAATCAGCGCAGACTACTTCCAAAATGACAGCAGCGAGGATGCAGAATTGTGATATCATTTTAAACTGACGATATTTAAAGAAAATCCATATCTGAAACGTTACCGCCAATGCCGAGAATGCAAGCTCAAAGTGCAAGCTCATGACTATGTTGTCAGAAAATACTTTCAATGAAATGTAATGAAACAAAAAAACCCACACCGCAATAGCTTCAGGAAATACATGGGTTGTACTCATTGCTCAGCAGCTGTCCTCTTGTATGTATGTAGTACAGGGTTTTACGGCGCTCGCAACTGCTAAGGTCATATGAGCGCGCTGTCCTCTTGAGTTGTGCTCATTGCTTAGCAGTTGTCCACTTGGGTTATGCCACAGACCGCCCTGGTTCAAACCCCCCATTGAGATTTTTTCAAGGATCTCCACACGCGCCCTTAACGGCCATGAACTTTATATTTTAGAGGTAAGGCATGACAGAAAACCACCGTCCAAAAAGGGCGTTCTGAACACATATCGACTTTATTATGGCATAGTGTACTATTTGTTTAGTAAACAAGGCAGAGTCATCTGCTAGTTTTGTTTGTACGTTTCTCAGCAGTACTAGTCGCTGTTCGGTTAAAGCAAAGAGTCCCTAAAGGCGATGATTTGGCGTTAAAAAAGTGGAGCACTTAGTCCCTCCTTGCGATCCCAGGCATAGCTAACAGTTTGGATCTCTCTGAACCTAATAACTGCTCGTTGCTTCTACCAAAGCTATTAAAACTTTAACAAAAAGAACTTATTAACCTGTTCAAAACCGAGGCGCTTCCATCTAGTTGCACAGACAGAATAATATATTCACTCAAGAGAGATTTAAATAAAACCATAATACACGTCCCTTAGTAAAAATATTCAACAGCACACATACCAGCTACAGTTTCTAAAACCTTTCCTATATAACAGTAAAAACAGGCAATGAGTCAGTTTTGGGTGACCACACATGTCTACAGAAAAGTGAAGTTACTTTTGCGTTTTAGCTAGAGTTTTACAGCACCATTAGGTCAAATTAGTGCCAACTAGAGGTGTTACAAGAGAGTAACAAACACAAAATGATGGAGGAGAGATAAGGACGATAGACGTTTGATAGGAAAGAAGAAGCAAATCACACTAGAGCGCCCGCCAACCACCCACCGACAGTGAAGTTGTTAACCCTTATGAAAGCCAACACGATGAAGTTACTCAGCCAGAGAGTTATTTCCAGTCTATCCTGGAATTTGATGTTGTTTGTTTGTTCCTTTTTAAGCTAGGCTGATGGAACATACTTATTAAAGTGTTCAATTATATTGGAGCAAAGTTGCTATCAACATACATGTAATATCATTTTAATGCTTACAAAATATTAATCTTTTTTCTTCTTGTTACACCTTCATTTTCTGCGTTTCTCTGCCCCGCCCCCCTCTCTCTCTCTCTCTCTC